AAATTTGATACAAAAGGGAATAACGACTTCATAGATTTTTGATGCAAGTGTAAAATATGATATAAGTCTATTTAAAAAACTGTTTATTTCAAAATTAGCATAAATTTGTTTCAAAATTCGCATTAAAATGGGTAGAACAGCTAAAAAAAGGATAATAATCGGACAGGATAAGAAAAAGCAAAAAAATACAAAAAGGTTAAGGCATATTTACCTATTGAAGTACTCAATGAGGGATTTACCTCAGAAAAAGCTTTCATCTAATGGCGATATTCTAAGATACTATCAATTTATTCTTTGCGAGTCTCAGGTTAAATACAAACCCGCTTCTACTAATGTTGGGTAAAAATTGAAATTGAAATCCAAGGATCTTATTTGTGAAAATGGTATTTATTCAGATCCTGATAATTCTTGCTTGGGATTAAAAAAATTTGGGATAATTTTAGATTTGGCAAGAAATTAGTGATTTCTGGGTACAATATAAAGACCAAAATCAATAAACTTAATTTAAAATACAAGAAATTGATTAAACTGTCTTCTCTAAACTGGGACAGCAGTCTTGGTAAGCAATCAAAGTTAGCGAAAGGTTTTCTCACAGAATCCTATCAGATTTTTGACATCTCAACTAAGAATTTTGAAAAAGATATTTTTGCTTTGAGAACAGATGATGCCAAGCTGAAAGATATAAAGTAAGTTCATTAAATAACACTTTTCTGAGTAGTGAGATTTTCTTTTCTGATTTAAAGTAACTTAAGTCATAGCATATTATTTCCTTTCAAATATTTACATTTACTTCTCTCCATGGTTTGGTCATTTTCCAAGAAAAACTAGAAAAATTATTAATTTATTCATAAATGTCTTCACAGATTTAAATATTTTTTAGTTTTTATAAAGACCAGAAGTTGAATAGGAAAGGATATATGGGAACAAAAGTATATAATATATGGGAATATACTGCTATTCCAGCTACAAGGTTCAATGTTTGTGTACAACCTCATCTGGCAATTTAAAGTGAAGTTTTGAAAGCTGGAGGTATAGAAATTAATGATATACCGTGTTTACAAAGCACACTTCATAGAAAAAAGTTCAATTATGTAGAACTTGAATGAGACTTTTTTTTTTTTTTTTTTTTAATTTTAATTCACCTCCTCAAGGCCGAGAAGGCCACTACAGACGAGGAGGCTACTTATTTGTGGTTATAACCCTCTCTCAACTCTATAACTCCGAAACACAAACCTTGACGAGCAAGGCCGCTGCGCGGAGAAACGAGTTGAGCGCGGTACTACCAGGGACGTGGTGGGGATCGAACTCGGAACCACTCGTTTATGAAGCGAGCGCTCTACCACTACACCACTACCGCATACTTAGAGTGGGTTTTAATAATGAATCATCTTAAAAGCTGATGGTTTATTCTTCATTTTGATACCAAACTGTTGGAACAAATTACTACTGGGCTTAAAATGATTCAAAATATTGAGCGACTTGCAGTCTCAGTGTACTCCTGGATGATGATACCATGACCATTGGTATTATCATCCGAGGAGCATTGAACAACACCTAAAAGACCAGAGGAATATTGAACAACACCTAAAAGACCATCTTTTAGGTGTTGTTCAATGTCCTTCTTTAAATGGAACAATACAGGCGGAGACAATGAAGCAGTCCAAATTCCTGCTGATATTTTCAAATTACCAATGTTGTGGAAAATGTGTTATGGAGCTAGTTAACATGTATCTCACTATATGGCTGCTCTTACTGGTCAGAAAACTAAAGGTCCAAGAAGAGCTCTTTATTTCAAGCTAAAGAACAATTGGCTTGAAATCTGGGAGAAAGTTAATGAAGTGAAATATTTATTTAAATTGGACTGGCAAAGAGATTATTTGAAGATTGGCTTCGTTCTTCACACTGTTGCAAAGGTATGGTGTTTTCTATAGGGGTATGGTGTATACTATCAGTAGTTGCATTAGTCAAAAAAAAAAAAAACATAAAAAAAAAAAACCTGGTGCCTGACATGAGGCAAGGTTTTAAGCAGATGTAATCTACATCCTGACTCTTTATATGACCAAAGATATCAGTAATATTATGACAGAAAAAGATGTGCTGCAGTTGAAGGATGCAAGTTTGTTCATTGCAATTTGCTATGTTCCATGGTTCTTAAATTTATTTTTAGGATTTCTGGCTCCCTACAATGATTTGAAAGTTATCCAGACAGCCTATGCATTGAGAAAAGTGAGTAAAAAGATTGGAAATGCTTTGCTTCTCAGCATGGAAGGCTATATGTGGTACTTAACTCTGCAACTCTGTGTTTTGATCTTTTGGGGATAAAGAAGTTCCTTTTGAAACAATGCTAAAAATGCTGTTAGCTCTGATTGATTTTGAAGAGCTAAATCAATTTCAGTGTTGTAAACCATCAAATGTGCATATTGGTGAGACCACAGAGTTACCTGAATTGATTTCCGAGCAAAGCTAACTTCTCTTTAAACATTTTAAAATATCAAGAGCAAGTATAAAAGAATGGCTCAATAATAGTCTTAATACTATAGATGTTTTTAACCATCCTCAGTTGCTAGATTTTATTGTATGGAACAAAAACATATCTGTTGAAAGTAATGGTGCAGAAAGAAACTTTAAGCTTGTTAAAGATTTTATTTCAGCTTCTAAAGATGAAGATTACCTTCAAAATGTATCTTTTGTAGTTAAAAAGGTCTAGATAAAACTTGACTAAGAAATGACCACAAAGGAGCTTGGGAACTGTTCAAAAAGTTTTTTTGAGAAATGTTTCACTGCAATAAAATCTTAAATTTGCTAATAAATGTTAGTTTTTATGTATTTTTTTATATTTTTATATTTATAATTATAAATTATCAAGTTAAATAGTAGCAAAAACAATTGGAAATGATTTATACGCATCTAATTGTTTTATTTTAATTTTCTAAAATGTAAAAATTGTGTTTTCTGTTAATGTTTATGTCAGCTTAACATTAAAACTGTAAAACTCAGATTTTACATTTAGCATATATGTTTTTTTAAATAAGTTTTTTTAAATAGTTGGTGTGTATGTTCCTAACTGGTTCAACATTAAAGTAAAGTCAAGCTGGGTGGAGAGACTAATGAACTTACTTAAACAAATGCAATTACTAAAAAATCTAACTCAGGAGATAATTGACATTGTTTTACCCACTTTTAAAAGATCAGCATGGTATACTCATTCTGAATCAGTGTTGCAAAGTATGCTCTGCAGTCAAGTTGAAGATGAAAGAAGAGAAGCTGTTAGTAGAGATCTTTTAGGAGATATCATCATGGAAGCAACCTGTTTGTCTAAACTTATAAACTTGAGTAACATCACAGAACCGCCTCTAACATGTAATTTATCAACTAAAGCAGTTAAAGAGTTTATTAACACTCCAATGAAAGTAACTAAGTGGCCCTCTCATACACAATCTGTTGAAAGATGTGTAAAAATGACTTCTGAAAATGCTTGTCATGTCTTTGGTAAGGTTAGAAGAGATACATACATTCAAGGTCAGATTGCTAGTAGAGAGCTTATGTCCAGTAATTCTAGTAAAAAAGACATGAAAAGTCTAATTCAAAAAAAATAGTTGGGAGTATTAATTTATTCACAGTTGTAAGAATGTTATTTACTTATTTTTTTTATGAAGTGATTATATATATGAAGTGATTATATATATACAGAGTGCTCAAATATATATATATATATATATATATATGATATATATATATGAGTGCTCAAATATATATATATATATATATATATATATATATATACATATATATATATATATATACATATATATATATATGTATATATATATATATATATATATGTATATCTATATATATATATATATATATATATATATATTTTTTTTTTTTTTTTTCTATTTATATATATACAGTTAATATATATAGTTATATCCATTAATATATATATATATATCCAGTTAATATAGATAGTTATATCCAGTTTATATTATATCCAGTTAAGTTAAGGTGCTTGTTTATTTATATATACTTGTATATTTACGTGGGTATATATATATATATATATATATATATATATATATATATATATATATATATATATATATATATATATATATATATATATATATATATATATATATATATATATATATATATACTTACATACATATATATATATATATATACATATATATATATAAATATATATGTATACACTTAAACAGTTAAAAATATAGATAGGTATTTTGAATTCAATGACGCAACAATATTATTATTCCTGGTAAATATTTATCTTGGATTTTTTTTCATAACTCGTATTTGCAATTTAATCAAATAAAACAAACAAAAAAAAAATATTTTTGTGAAAAGAATAGGAGAGTCAATGTTTTAAATTATCGTGTTGTCCATTAAATCAAGTTTTAAAATATGCTTTTTTGCATACTATTAAAAATTTTTTCTAGATGATTTGGTAAATAACTGCGGTCTTCGGTGATTACCAAAAAAATTAAGTCAACAAAAAAAAAGTCTTAAGGTAAAAAAAGGGAGCTTAAAGTTTGTTTTTTTCAAAAAAAAATTATTTCATATGATTCATACTGAGTTACATAAAAAAAAACTAGCCATAATCAAATTTCCAAAAAAAGTGAAAATAGACACACACTAATGTATAAATGCTTATGCAGCCTTGGTCACAAACTCGGCCCCGGCTATATTTTATCAAACCTGGCCCCAGTCAAATATCATATCCTGTTACTTACTATTAAAAGATTGATTTGCTTTCTATTTTTTAAATATACTGATATAGTTTGTAGCTAAAAGAGCTATTATTTTTCCTCACAATCTTTCTGAAGATTCTTTATTAAACTTAAAAAACTAAAATATATAGTTTTGTTTGTTTAATCAATTTGAATAGATCTGATTTGTTTAATCAATTTGAATAGATCACATCTTTAATAAGTAATAATTGTATAAAAATAATAATTAATTTTTTTTTTTTAAAGTTTGTAGCTCAAAACTTGAACCATTGTCAATTTACCATATTCTGGAATTGAACACGTCTTTAAGTAGCAATACTAAATTGAACACGTCTTTAAGTAGCAATACTAAATTATCAAATCTTAAGAACGTCACTTTAACCTGCATTGAAACTAATCAGAGTCTTCGTTTTGATTTTGGTAAAATTCTAACAATAAGCGGCTTTATGATGCTCAGCCAAAATGTATCTTTAAAATTAAGAATCCGATATGGAGATATTGAAAATATGACCCTAAAACAAGAAGTTTTTCAGGTAAAATAGTGCATTGAAATTTTTACTTGAGATAATGGCAAGTTTAGTGTGAAGAGCATTCATAATATTTCTTTAGACATTTTCAACAAATTCTATTCCACATTCTTATACAACATTTTGGTTTAACAACCAAATATTGACAAAAGATATTGAAGTAAGACCTGTTACTGAAATCACTTGCATGTATGTTGTGTTCCTTGGATGTAGTTCAGGTATGTTTTTTTAGGGTGGTTAAACATAAAAATGTTTTAACTCATAAGATTAGTAGGCAATTTGTTTGATTGTCATATTTGATGTTTAATGAAAATTTCTTGTTTTATCTATTTTGTTTATGTTTATAAAAATGTCAAATCAAGCAATATATTGTTGTATGTTTATGAAAAGTATGAATTGCTATGATTACTTTTAGCAAATATGAAAAAACTGGGTATAGAAAATGGATCACCCGGTATAACTTTAACAGAGTCTTCATTCTATAGTTCTTTTCATACAGCTGTAAATGGGAGGCTGAATGCTATGATGTCAGACTGGACGATTAATGATGCAGGTTTCAAATATGTAATAATAGTTATATATATAAGTATATATATATATATATATATATATATATATATATATATATATATATATATATATATATATATATATATAATGTATTTTTTAATTATATTTGTAGATAAAAATCCATGGTATCAAATTTGTTTTTCAGTAATTCAAACTGTTTCTGCAATTGCAGTTCAGGGTCAGGGGTATTGGAGTCCAGCTTACATCACTGGATTCTCTATAGAATATGGCTATAGTGCAAACACTGTTTCATATATTTACTCTTTTAATGGTTTACCTGTGAGTAAAAAAAATTATTAATTTGTAACTAGATATACGAAATAAATATATTGCTCTTTAATTATTTTATTCTTTTAATTTTAAAATTTTGTTTTATTTTTTTTATCTGGTGTTTTTGCTATTTTTTTTAAAAGTTTTTGATATTATTATAAGTCTATTTTAATTTAATGTGGTAGTGGCAGAGTGCTTTCTTTGTAAGTTTAATCACAACCATGTTTCTTCTTTTTAAAAAGTTAGATATTTGATAAAGGTTTTTAAATAACTTTTACATATTGTTTTTTTTCTGATTTTATTTTAATTTTAATTTTTTTTGAAATCTTATTTTTATTAAAATAAATCAGGCAAATTTTTTTTTTAATTTAACAAATTCTACTAAATGAAATCAGAGCTAAAAATTATTTTTATAATAAAAACTTTTTTTTTCTTTTTAGTTACATTTAAATGCATGTGTTACTAACACATGCATTAGCTATTAACTATTATTGTCATTGGATAACTTTTTATATGATGTAATCCTATTATTTTCACACATATATTTTGCTTTGATTGTCCCTCATAGATTCAAAGCAAACTAAAATGTGTTGCAGATATTTTGATTAGACAAGTGATTTTATTAACTGTAAAATTTTCTTTCATGTTTTATTAGTAGTTTTATTTTGTTATCTATATGTGTAGACACAAAACCTTCATAGTAGAGGAATGTTCATTGTTTAATTAACCGTCATTCGAGATTGCAATATAAAGTTTCAAATTATATTTCACTCAAAATACTTAAAGATGTTTAAATCTAAAAGTAGTTTCTTAGAAATTTGGTTGAGCTATAATAAATATATTTCTTGGCTTTTGAATAACAAGTCCTGCAAGAAAAAAAGTTTTTTCAAAGTTGTTTTAGATAACTGCTATAGGACGATTGATGCACTTGCAAGTTACGCAAGCACTATCAGTAATTGCCTACTAAAGACTACATTATTTTCTTGGCTTTGAAGTACAAACCGCTAAAGGCCAGAATCACAGAAGACCATCTCATCAAAAGCAAAGTAATATTCCATATATGCTTCCAAACGATGTCATTTTTTAAAAGTAGAATTGGTTGTTTAGATATAAAGTAGATATGTCAAATGAGAATAGATTTTAGCAATTTGATTGCATGTTTCCACAAAATTGTCAGACATTTTTCTTGGGGTTAGAAAAAATTAGGTTTTTTTGTATTTTGATAGTCAATGTGCCAGCATGGCCGAGTGGTTAGGGCGCTGAGCTTTTGAAAAAGAAAGCAGAGGTTTGAGTCCAACAACCGGCAACTTTTTTTTTTTTAATATTTCAAAATTTTTTAAAATGCAAATTATTTGTGAGATTTTGTAAAGATTATATACAAACATATCCAACAATATTATACACTTTAACAAACGAAAAGATTTTTAAAAAAGCTAAAAATTCTAAATACATTTAAAAACGGGGTTGATATTTGTTGCCTATGTGTCATGGTCAGGATACTTATGTTGTTTTAGTTTTACATTTAAATTTTTTTACTACTAAGTTGAGTTTGTGCAAGAAAAATAAGTAAACATGTTTATATATAGAATATAAAATCTATAAAACTGTAAAGTTGTTTTGCATTTTAAATAACAAAAATTAAAAAATAAAGCAAGCTAATATTTTGAACTTGCCAAGCGACAACCTTAACTTTTTCAAAACAGTAAGAAGGTTTTAAAAGTATGTATAAGAATACAATTGAAAGTTCTAATTTTATACTTAAATTAAACCATTTTATTATATTAATTACTTTTAAAAATAATTCAAAGTTATATTTATGTAATATTGATACTATAAGATTATTTAGAGTTTTGCAGCTATTTTTCCACGCCCCCATTTAACATTCTAAACCAAGTTCAAAACAACATAATTTAGATAACCATCAAAATAGTGTTGTACTCCATTATATTTTTAATCTAAAGTTTTAAATAAGGGATTGTCCATAAATTACCCAACGCTAAACTTCACTTTTGAACAAAACAAAAAAGATCAAAATTATTACTCACAGAGTTGTATGTTAAATAACAAATCAAATTGGCTCATTAAGTTTATTGAAAATCGCAACACTAAAGAACTGAAGATCTCTTTTTACTTTTTAAAAATAAATTTAGTGTGCGTAATTTATGGGCGATCCCTTAGCGTTTTATAGTCAATAGTTTTTAATGGTCTAAGATCTTAATTATGCTATACTATTATAAAATAATATTGCTATTATAAAATATTAATAAACTGCCAAACTTTTATAAAATTTTTGCTATAAATATTGCTATTAATACAGCAAATGAATTATTTTATGTAAAAATATTGAAGTAAACAAATAATAGGTATAGAAATAATAGGTGTGGAATAGATAAGTTTAGAAATGATAGATTTGGTAAAGACCCATATTTTATGTGTCCGGAAAGCTAGGATATATATATATATATATAAAGAAAAAGTTTAGAAAAGTTTAGTGTGGAATAGACTTAAAAAGATCCTTTTTTTTACGGGTCAGATCAGCTAGTGCTATAATAATTTTAGAGAGATTAAATGTGGTTAGAAGCACCTAAGGGTGAGCGTGGATAAATAGAGTACTGACTAGTATCAAAAATAAGACATAAGTTGTGTAGAGAAGGTAAATGATTCAGATTGTCTGGAGAGCGATTCGGAAAGTTGACTATTTTTATTAGAGATTGAGAAAAGCAAAAGTTGTGGTTTTTAACGCCTGCAGAGTCATTGTGACTAGAGCCATGCCATTCAGTGTGATGAGCATTAAAGTCACCAATAACAACAATATTGGCTGAAGGATAAAGAAAAAGGGCTCTGTCAATTTGCTCTGTTCTAACATGGAAAAGTGTGCAGTCTTGAGATGACGGTGAACAATATAGAACAAAGAGAAAGGTGATAGAGTGAAGTGGTGTTAGATGAAAGTACATAAAAGAATAGTCTGTGGGTTGAAACCTAGTTTCCTAACTAATGGGTAAATACTTGCAAATATAAATGCCCAGGCCAAGCATATGACTGGTGAGGTCTTTACCAACTGAAAGATGGTAATCATCAACACTAAAGTCAAAATATGAGGCAGCCAAACTCTAATTAACCTCACAAAGAGAAAGTAGGTCTAGTAAACTTTTCAATAGATAAGACTAAACAGAAGAAAAGTTTCTTCAAAGACCATGAATACTACCATCTTTGTTTTATAATTACTGTTCTAGCATCTATGTTTCATAATCACCTACCATCTTGTTTTATAACTTATGTGCTAATTACTTATTAATTCAATTTTAATATTTCAAAAAATTTTATTTTTCCACAACACTTATTTTATTTTACCTTTATAAAAAGATACTTTTTGTTTGATTTTAAAAAGTTTAATATCTTTTATACTTTAACTAAATTATGGCTGATTGGAATTTTAGAAATATTACTCATGAGTTTTCTTGGGATGATGTTTCCATTTTTTGTCTCTCTCTTGTTTGTTGTTTATCTTGTTTATTATATTAGGCAGAATTTTAGAAATTCAAAAACTTTTATACATCCAAATATACAAACCTTCTTCACGATTTTCTCACTTCTTAAACTAGCTAGTATAAACTACTATCTGCCAAGTTTATTCTACTTATCTACCAAGTTTTTTTTATAATAACTTTTATATGATCTTTGTTTCCTAATCACCACCTACCTACCATCTTTTTTTATAGCTTTTTTGATGGTTACTCATTAATTCATAAAGAAAAAAAAATTAACTGAATTTGTTATAGCTACTTTTAAGCCAGGTTGTAATTAGCAAGAAAAAAAAAGAAACTAAATTTGCTATTTTTTACTTTTTGCTTTTTTTTTAACTGATGTTAAATATTAAATTTTTATTGTGTTTTTATATAATAGTATTGTTTTGATGGAACAAAAAATCGATATGCTACTAGTGTGAACCAATTTCCTGTAGAAATTTCAGCACAATGTTTAAGAATAGTAAAAATGAAATATTTTAGATCTGCATCTGGAAGATTTGAAGTTCTTGGTAATAACATAAGTGAGTTAAAATAATTTCATTGCAAAACCAAGTGTCACTTTTTAACTGAAAGTTAGAATTTAAAACTGATTTGTTTTTATTTTGATTTTTTATTTATGTATATTTATATTCATATATTTTTTAATATTTTTGGTCATATTTATTGTTTAGCTTATCCACCAAACATTATTATGCCTAAACTTGTATTTAACATCAAAAATTCCACTGCTTTTGTTAAATGTGTTGTGATTGGTCAACCAGGTCTCATCATTCAATGGAGAAAACAAAATGAAATTATTGTTTACAATAACTTAAATTACACTATTGTAACTAGTAATAGATCCATAGACATTAATGGAACCTACACATCAGAATTAACGATAAAACCTTTAGTTCATTTAAATGTTGATAATGATGACAATTTTTGTCATGGTGATATAAAAAATGTATCTTGTTTTTTTAACTACTCTATTAGTACAGGCTACACATCAACTAATTTATTTGTTACAAATACATCATTAATATACTATGGTTTTGATGGTAAGGTTTTTATATCTAAAAAGAATTTAAAAGTAAATAGTTTTTATTTATAAATTTATAACTGTAAAGTTTTAAGTATTTAGATATAATATTTATATTTATAAGTTTATTTTTAATTTTAAAAACAGTCTAAAAACTATAACATATACGATTTCAAAACAAAAACTTCTAATATATATATATAAGTTAAATATTTAAATTTGTAATAACAATATGTAACTTATTATATTTTATTATTTTGCAGCAGAAATTGATTCACCTAATCTTACAATTATTGCAACTAATGTCTCAATAAATATTACTTGGACAACTGAAAAATTTAAAAGAGATTTTCAAGTTTTTTACAACTTCTCGTTAATAGAACATGATGGTTCTAACAATATAACACGGGACAACAATATTAGCATTGAAAACATTGTAGTGTATGATGCCAAACCATATACTTCTTACACATTTCAATTGACTGCGTTCAATCGATTAGGAAGAAATCCAAACATTTTTAAAAAATTTTTATCAGAAGAAGGCTGTAAAAATTTTTTTTTTTTTCTAATTTTCTGAATACTTTATTGTTTTAAATCTCTTATCATTGTTTTTTCTATAAATGATATTGTTTAAATGTTATATGTTTCTTTCTTGTTTTTTCTGAATATTTTAGTTTTTTTAAATTTTATATTAAAATTTTATGTAATATTAAAATAAAAACAAAATGTTATACTTCTTTAAAGTTCTTTTTTTTTTAGTTTTTTTCAAATTTATGTTTTTAGATCCATCTGTGATTCAAAACTTTATTGCTTTGGCTACATCTAAAGAGAATATTTCATTGAATTGGAACCATCCAAAATGTCAGAATGGAATCATTACTATTTACACTGTTGAATATGCAGAAATTAATTTAACAAGCTCTATGCTATCTTTTTCAGTTTTAAAAGAGAATCTTGTAAACCAAAGTTTTGCTGTTGTAGTTGGACAACTAAAAAATTATCAGAAGTACATGTTCAGAGTTAGTATAGTTTAAAAAAAAGTTAATATCAATGATTAGATAATTATATAACCTTTAATACTATTAAATAAATTATATACAAACAAACACACAAACAAACACATACAAACTTACTTTAGGTTTAGATTAGCAATGTCCTAACATATTTTTAACATATTTTTAACATATTTTTAACATATTTTTAACATATTTTTAACATATTTTTAACATATTTTTAACATATTTTTAACATATTTTTAACATATTTTTAACATATTTTTAACATATTTTTAACATATTTTTAACATATTTTTCAATTTAAGTTTTAAAACGCTTACTTTAGTCCTAAAAAATTTTATTTAAAAAAAAAAAATAAAAAATAAAATAATAAAATAAACAAAGTTCTTTTTTAGTTGAAAAGTACTTAACCCAAAATTCATATATATATATACATTTACACAAAGAAATTTGTGTGAGTGTGTGTGTGTGTGTGCGTGTGTGTGTGTGTGTGTGTGTGTGTGTGTGTGTGTGTGTGTGTGTGTGTGTGTGTGTGTGTGTGTGTGTGTGTGTGTGTGTGTGTGTGTGTGTGTGTGTGTATATATATATATATATATATATATATATATATATATATATATATATATATATGTATATATATATATATATATATATATATATATATATATATATATATATATATATATATATAACATGTGATACCTAGAAATCCGGACAAAACTAAGAAACTTATAACTTTGAGACTAAAGGTGCAATTTTATATCTGTAAAAAGATAGTTAAAGTTAAGCATATGAAACTTTTGATTTTAAAAAATTATAAGTTTATCATGCCATGCCTGCAAACTTTGTCCACTTGCCTGAAAGAAGCCTTGCCAAGTCAATGTACACAATCTTGACTGATCCGTTTTATGCAGTAGTTTTATTCACTTGGAGAAACTCCTGCGTCTTCTTTGCATTATGAGACGTAGCGAGGTCAGGCCAGAAAACAATCTTGTTATTCTTATGAACTGTTTTGATGAATGAAATCAAGTGCTTCTGGATGTAGACATCTTGATTGATCGCTTGGCTCGAAGGTGTCACCAGATGCTTCGACAGGCCATCCTCAGACTTAGCAATCCAAACAAGTATCTTAGGCTAGAATTTGAACTTGGGCTTGAGTTCAACACCTTCTGGAGTCATTTCAACATCAGACGTGTAGAAACCAATGTTTCTAGATAGCTTATTATTGCTCAACAAAAAATAGGACTCGTCGTTGATGATTACCTTCTTTTTCCAGAAAACTCTAGCCAGGTGGGCACACTTCGGACGAATGGCTGACTTCTGTTGCGGAGTTCGATCCGGAACTTTTTTCTTCTTTTTGTATTTGATTATTGTCTTGGTACTAATTGTTTTTGATATGTGCTCTTGGCTGACACCATACTTGTGGGCTAGCTGACGCTGGCTAACTCCGTCACTATGATCAATTCGCTTTTTCAGCATGGTGATTTGCTTTGTGTTCATCTTGATTGCCACCCGTCTAGTTCCACACTGTCTTTCAGGGTGGAACTAGACGGGTGGAACTAGACCTATTTTGAGCGTCTTGCACTGCAGGGTCGACTTTGATGCGCCTTCATACAGGGTCACATACAGGGTCGACTTTGATGCGCCTTCAATCATGAAGTCTCACAATCTCACTTTTTTTCATATCCAGGTGCAAATCGATTTATGCATACACGCGCTTTCTGAGGTCTTCCGGTTATAAGATATTTTTCTTTGCCATTATAAATAATTGTTTGCTAAAAGATATATTGCAATTTCTAGAGAATTAAATTTACTACAAAATAACATTAGTTGCAACAGTTTTGCAACACTCCTTAAGCAATTTATGTCGACTGAACTTTTGTCCGGATTTCTAGGTATCACATGTTATATATATATATGTATATATAAATATATATATATATATATATATATATATATATATATATATATATATATATATATATATATATATATATATATATATATATATATATATATATATATATATATATATATATATATATATATATATATATATATATATATATATAAGGCTTGGACAGGAATGGTGTGCGATCGCACTCTGTAACTGACCACGCTAATATTTTAATTTCTTTACAACTTGACCACGGCTATTTTGATGTTTTAACAATTTGAATGCAATAAAAAAAGTGATACGTTATAAATATTTTTTAATCGTTGATCTTTTCTAAAGTTTTTTTATTTTACGCAAAGGCTGTAAATAAAACCATAAAATTAATTATAGTTATTGTTTACATAAATGCTTGTGTAAATTAATAAAAATTGTTATAAGTATGTTTTTTTTATGTAGGCATTTGTTTTTTATGATAAATTTAAACGTTTGAAACTATTTTCTTATGTCTTCCTAAAATATTTTGAAACCATTGATTTTAGAACAAATTTTTTTAAGTTACTTTAATTTGTGAATAAGTTCAAAAGCTTTTGTGACTACTAACTTTTACACATTTTATGTGAATTACACAAGAATATAAAGAAACTTTATTTACTTATATAAGCATGTATTTTGTTGATTTAATGAAAAAGTTTTAAAGCATTTTGTAATGTTCATACTATTAATTTTTATGATTAAACTTACGATTTTTTAAAATGTTTTAAATAAACATTTTATTTTTTGTAAACAATTTTTTTTTTTTTACAATTTTGTTAGAAATGAATGAGATTAGATCTTTTATAACAATTTTTAAATTCGTTACACAAAGCGCTTATTAATAAAGTTGTTATGCCCAAATTAAAATTAAATTAAAAGCTTGTTGGCAATTTATTTTATTTAAATCGCAGGTGCATTTTATTTTATATTTTTTTCTTTCTATTTTTACGAATAAAAAAGTTCAAAATCTTTTTTTCAATTAGACTCACTAATTAAAGCATGAAATAAGTAAAAATTACTATTTTAAAAAGACTACGTTATTTTTTTAAACAATTTTTTTTTTTGCAACTTTTTTGACAAAATAAATGTTTATACAATTTCAAAATATTATATAAAACACTTTTTAATAGATTTAATAAAATTTGTTCTTTTATTAAACCTTAATTTAAAAACGTTTTGCGTAACTTTAATAATGCTTAAAAAGATAAGCTTTAATAACGTTTATTTCATACATAATTAAAAACGTAACAAAAAAATTTGCTCCGAGTTTAAGTTTTTATTTTCATTTTAGTGCTTATATAATTTCTTTTTCGTTATGAATTTGTTTTTTGTAGCTTTTTTCGTTAGGAATTTTTTTTTCTTTAGTTTTTTTTTTATTTTTTTCCTAGATTAAGTTTAGCTTAGCGTTTCTACATATCTGAAGTTTTTAACTCATCAAAACATATTAACATTGTTTATCAAACAATCGTGGTCCAGTTGTCAAAAAATAAAATCATTTGCGTGGTCAGCAATAGCGCTCGATCGCACGCCATTCCTGTTCAAGGCATATATATACATATATATATATATATATATATATATATATATATATATATATATATATATATATATATATATATATATATATATATATATATGTATATATATATATATATATATATATATATATATATATATATATATATATATATATATATATATATATATATATATATATATATATATATATATATATATATATATATATATACATAATGCTCTATTAAATAATTAAATCCTATTTATTTATTTTTGAGCACTCTTCTACGTACAAGAGTTTTTGTAATTTATTTTTAAATACAAAATATCATTTAAATAATATTCGCTCCAACAGTCGAGAACTTTTCTCAAGTCGTTTAACAAAATATCATTTAATATAATATTCGCTCCAACAGTCAAGAACTTTTCTCAAGTTTAATTACTCTATCATGAATATTTCAATACCATCAGAAAAAACCTATAAATTAAAGTTATTAGAAAAAACGATCATCTGATATGTATCTGGATGGATTAAAAAAGTCTGGTTACAAATTCAAACTTAACTATATTCCAAAACTTATCCAACCTCAATCGAAAAATGGTAAGCCTAATATAATATGGTTTAACCCTCCATATAGTAAAAGTGCTTCTACCAAAATTGGTAAACTCTGTTTGAGTTTAATAGACAAACAAGATTTTTAATAGAAATACTCTCAAGGTGAGTTACAGTTGTATGCCAAACATCAAACTAATAGTTAACTCTCATTACCATCATATAATGAATAACAAAACCTGTGATTTGAATAAGCATTGCAATTGTATTATTAAAACCAAGTGCCCTCTAATTCAAAAATGCCTTTTAAATAGCATAGTGTATCAAGCCACTTTGTACCCAGGCATTCTGGACGGAAATGAAAAAGTGTATTTTGGAGTGAGTGAAACCACATTCAAACTTATATACGCTAACCATACAAAATCTTTTAATATCGAAAAATATAAAAACGATACTGAATTATTTAAGGAAGTATGGAGGTTAAAAGAAAGTGAAGTAAGCTCGACAATTAAATGAAAAGTTGTAAAATGTTATAGATCTTACAATCCCACAGCAAAACGTTGCAACCTTTTTTTATTTGAAAAGTATCTCATAATATCTAACACCAATGATAACTTATTAAGTAAGAGGAATGAATTAGTTTTTAAATGTAAAAAACATAAAAGCAAATTTCTTCTTTCAAAGTACGATTCAGGTGATTAAGCAGCCGTTTATAGTTTTTTCTTTTTTCTTTCTGTTGTTTTGTTGTTATGACAACATAGCACACTTCATTGTAACTTTATATTTCAATAGTTTTTTATTTCTTGATTTTGTATTACATGGCTGATGATTGCCTTTAGGCATGAAACTATTAGCACCATAAAAAGTTGTATTTTGCTTGTTTACAAATTTATATATACATATATATATATATATATATATGTACATTTATATATACATATATATATATATATATATATATATATATATATATATATATATATATATATATATATATATATA